TGACTGTATTTTTTTTGTGGCCCAGCTCCCCCTATGCAGTCACAGCCCCTAGACTGTGGTGATACCACCTGTCCCTTTGGACCCTCCAGTCTTAGGGGTAGCAGCGCTTCTCCTCCTAATCATAGGGTTTTGAACTGTTTCCTATCTGTCTTTCCATTTTACTAACACCCTTTAAAGCAGTTCCTCATGTTAAGTTTCTTCTGTGAAACTCACAGGCATGGGTTCTGTTTTCCTGATCACTGATTGATCGATTTCTCTGTATCTAATAAATGACCACACCTTGCCAATTTTGGGCTCTTTCTCTCCCTTCCTTCCTCACTGCCCTTATGCAGGCCATCATCTCCCACATGGACTAATCTAATATTCCATTTCTAGTCTCTTGATCTGCAATGTAGTTCCCCTCAAAGACCTCCTCCACTCAGCTGACACAGGGACTTTTCTAAAACACAGTCACCTTGTTGTAACTTTGCTACTAATTTTAAAAGCCCCTTCAGTGGCTCTCCATCTCATAAAAGAGCTAAGAGCTCCTTAGCATGACAAAGCTTCATCTACTGCTTGCCAACTTCTTCTCCGCTTGGCTCACACACCCACTCACACATATGCCTGTACACAACTACTCATGCACAAACATCCCGCTGCTCCACCTCTCAGATCTTTGCTATATTGTTTCCTTCCTACCTATCTGCTTCTGGCTGGCTTCAACTCTCTTTCAAAACACAGCTCAAAGACGTTTCCTCTAGAAAGCTCTTGTTCACACTGAGCTGCGCTTCCTCTGGGCTTGTTTTAGCATCTTGTCCATACTTTCACAATTGCATTTACCATATTTTATCAACACACCCTGTTTGAGCCTCTTCACCTAGGTGGAGTGCCTCACGGGTCCCCGTGCCTTCCTCATTTGTCTCTTTCTGTACTTCCTATCTCAGAGAGATTGGTTGAACTAAACTATGTCCCCATGTGCCCTGGCAACCCAAATTAGGAACCTGTGAATCATCTTTAATTTCCTTCTCCTTTAACTCCACCTCCAATTGGTCAATTAGTCTCAATTTCACCTCAGACATTTCTCTGATACCTAGAGTCCCCTCTCTCACCCCACAGCTGCTGCCCCATTGTTCTAAGTCATTGTGTTTAAGCTTTCTTTGACCATGACTCCTGGTAAGTGACACATGATATGCATTCTGCAGTTCAAAAATTTTAAGTCATTCTTAAGATACAATCTTCAAAATGCAGCCAAGAGGAAATTTACTCAAGATTTAAATCTAATAATTATTTTTTTCTCACTTCTTTCACTTTCCAGGTAATAAACCCCACGTTATACTTACATGGCTTCAACCCTGTTTTGTACCCACAATGACAGTACCTACATTTCACTTAATCATGCTACATCTTAAGTAAACCCACTCTGTTCATTTTGAACTTAAATCTGTTGTAGAAGTGAATTTATTCAAAACTCAAATTTCCCAGAAAGTTTATGCATCACAAACAAGTAAATCAAACAGAAGTTTTATGAAACATGGACCCTATTTCATAAGACTCTTTGATACTTTCTTTTCCACTCAAGTCTATTTTTTCTAAATGCAGGCTGTGACCTATTAAAATAATCCCAAGATTCACTTACGAGCTGTAACCCGCAATTGGAATACCACTGTCCTAGGTTTTCATGATCATTTGCTTGAACTACTGCAATTACTTCCCAACTTGCCTCCCTGTCCCCAGCGTGGCTTCCATGCAGTTACCTTTCTAAATGGACCGAATCTAACCAAGTCTTTCCTTCTAGAAAGAAGCACGTCCTGAGAGTCTGACTCATAAAACATAAAATCCCTATTTCTTACCATGGCATAGGAAGTCCCCGGGACCAGCCCCAGCTTCACTGTTCACCTTAGCCCCTTGCTGCCCTCACCCTGTCTACTATACCACACGACTCTCACCTTCCCCTCACTGACACCTTCACAGAACCACTGCTGTTCCCTCTACTTCTATGCCCTTCCCTTCCTTATGGGTCTATATTACTTTATTCTTCAAGGCCCAAGTATCAATGGCAATAATTCATGTCTCCCTCATCTCTGAGAGACTAGCAGATTAACAGCTCCGTCATCTGTCAAATGCCATTTGACTATCTTAATTGCTTTATATGAATTTTAATATGTGCCAGTGTCACCTTTCTGAATATGAGCCTCTTGAGGACAGAATCTTTGTGCCCTTAAGAGAGATAATGATTGTAAAGTACTTGGGAGAGAAGTTAGCATAATCAATAGATACAAACTCCTTTTCCCTTTCACTCATCTTTGTGTTCTATCACCTAATAACATGATCATCAATAAATGTGTTCTGAGTTCCAATCCATATCCTAATAACCTATATTTATAATCCTATTGTGTGTTAATAATGCCCTATATTTATTTAGCATTTAGTATAAATTGACTTATATTTTAGTATAAATTGATCTATATTTAGTATTTAGTTTATTTATATCTTAGGAAGTATTTCTGTAAATATATGCCATTGATTCTGACAAACAATAGGGTGTATTGTAGGACAAATGGAATCCTGTTTTATTGAGAAAGGCCCAGAGGGCTTGTGCTATTGACCAAGGCCACATAGACATACCCAAACTCAAATCCAGACCTGACTCCAAAACTCTCTTTTCTTTTGGGGGTAACTACCCCAGGCCGCCAATGCCTTGCAGCCTTCCATCGGCCAGGGAGCGCCCTACCCAGCCTCAGACTCAGCCACAGCTCTTACTAGCATCCAGCCTCCACCTTTCTATCTCCAGTCTTGACTCCTGAGCTTCCATCCTACGTCTTCAAAGACAGTCTGAATAAAGTTCCTTTTCTGAATATGGTTTCCCCTTAAAAGAATTTGGGGAGAACAGAGTTCTCCTTAAAAACCAACAAAAACACAGATCAACAGAGAAACAATAAATGTGAGGCAATTTGCTTACTAACAGCAGTGTGGGCCAAAAAGCAGGTCCAGGTTTCATAAGATGCTTAAAAAATATCCCAAAACAAAAAACCAGCTCTAGTGTGTGGCAGGGCTCTTGGGACCTACTGTAAATCTCTTTGACTTTCACTCACTTGGGGGATAAAGGGTGGCCAGGATGAGATGCAAAGTATCAATGATTAACTCCTAAGCTCCATTTTAGCAAGTGGAAAGAAAGGTTATCTAAACTTACCAAATGCCTACTATGTCCCGGGAACTCAGTACCCATCTTTTATCTAATCCTCACAGCTCCAGTCAATCAAGTACTTCCTGAGTGTCTTACTCCACGCCTCGCACTGTCCAGGTGTGGGCAGGACAAATAGCATCCCTTTCCTTGCGGAACTGCAGCCTAGCACAGTAGTTCTCTTCTCCCTTCCTAACACGCCGAAGGAACAGCCCGGCATCGTCAGTACTAGGGGCTCCTTATGTCATGATTTTCAGCTCGGGACACAGCCATGGCAAATTGGGAGTAGTGAGGGCAGATGGGGTTTTGGGGTGCAGGACAACAAAGCACCCCAGATGATTCTGATAGATCCCCATTCCACATGAGTAACGACAGAAATTCAGCAACGTTTAAAGTCACTTGGTAGACAGTGTACAGGCGCAGTGATGGCGCACCCTCTTTGAGCAAGCTGGAGGAGCGCCCACAGTGGAACTGGGTGGAGAGCAAAGAGCTCTCGGAAGGAAGTGACATACAGTGAGAACGGAGTAGTGGGAGCCATGAGAAGACGGGGTTTGGGGATGAGAGGATATGCTATGGCAGCATTCTAGGGATAGCCTATGCCCAAACTCAGAAATAACAGCAAAACAATTTGGCATCCTTAAAGGTACCGAAAGAATTTAAGAATGACTGAAGGATGGAGTGCAAGCCAGGGGAGCAGGGTGGAGACCTAGGCCTGGGCCTGTCTTGAGGGGCTTTCTGACTGTGTCGTGCTCATTCTGAAGGCAACAGGAACCACCAAGGGGGACTGCAGGAGGGAACAGGGCTGCACCGGGGAAAAGGTTTTAGGAAAGTCAGAAGGCAGTTAAGAGCCGGACCCAGGGTAGGAACTGGCCATTAAGTGGATGTATTGGTTAAGAGAAAGAGGAATTAGCCAGGCTTTGACCAGAACAGCTGGGTGGGGTTGTACAGCGGCAGGGCAGACCTTTCATCATAGGTGGCTGGGAGGTGATGAATGAGTTCAGCTTGGAACATTTAAGTCTATCCAAATGGGGATGTTCTGTGCAGTCAGATACATAGGTCTGCCACTCAGGAATGAGACCTGGGCAAGACAGAAGACTTCAAATGGCAACAGGGCTCATGGCCTGGGAGAAATCATCCAGGGAGAGCGTGTGTTGAGAGGAGAGACCAGGACTAGAAGGGAACTTGAGAAACACCAGCATTTAAAGAACTAGGGGAGGAAGACCAGGCAGCAGAGGAAGATGTTAGGAGCAAGGCTGTCAGCAGATGCATAGCAGGTTAACTTCCATTTTACAGATGGGGAAACTGGGTCTTACACTTCACAGCTTGTCCAAGGTCTTCCAGCTGGGATGGGGCAGTAATGGGCTTTCCAATCACTTATTTCTGATATACAATTGAGGTTATATAAGCAGGTACGGCCTCCTCCCTCTAAACCTTTCCTCAGGGGACATTAACCACGGGGGACACTAACCACAGACAATCTTCCAAAGCGACAAATCTCCCCTCCCTTGGCTCTCTTGCCTCCATGCCAGGGATCAGGGATGAGGACACCAAAGGGGACAGCAAAGGCGGGCTCCTTTGACCTTGTATGAGGCTATCGTGGACTTGCTCCTAACATACACGATGACTCAGTCAGTTCTTTAGGTTCCCCATGTGTTTAGTGGGGAAAACAGGATCTGATATCATCCAATGGCCTGAGCTAGGAATGAAGGGCTATATAAAGTTTAATCATTAAACAATTTTGTTAAGATACTGTTGCAAACACGGGGCAATGAGAAAATTAGCTTTAGTCACTAGGGTTTTCCAGAATGGTCTTTCGTGTCAGGAGACCAAACACACCATCTGACAGTTACCATGTTTAACCAGGGTTTCGGTTTATTGTAGTTGACACAACAGCAGGGATGAAGGAAGGCCCCTCCCTGTCTTCTTAATGTGATACGAGGCGAGCCTGGAGGGTCCCCGGACCAAAGTCAGCTCCTGCCTCCACAGGACAGTGCACAGAGAGGCTTCCAGGGTGGCCTCTGGCGTCAGGCTGCCTGGGTTCTGGTCCTCTCAGCTGGTGGACACACTGCTTCTCACAATCTGTTTCCTTATCTGTAAAGTGGGGATGAAAGTACTTACCTCATCCAGCCATTGTGAGAATTGAGAGATTAAGTCCCACAAAGCACGCAGCACGCAGCCTCGTACAGAACAGTCAGTGACCATTAGCTACTGTCACCACCTTTTTCGCGTTAAGCTTTGCCCAGGGGTGGGGCAGGGCACAGAACCTTAGCAGAACTGGTTAGTAAAGTCACCTTGTAATGACCCTGAACCGCGGAGGGAGTGAGCAGGGGAGCAGATGAGACTCGGGTCCAGCTCAACACCCCCCAGAGGCGATGCGTAGTAATTCCCAATATTCTCCTGCTTCCCATCTGTCCCCCAGAAATTTCCAAGGAGCAAACCAAGGCCTCAGGAGATGGTTCCCTGGCGAACAAGCTTCTTGTGACCACATCCCTCCATACTGAGACATGAGAGCCCAGACAAGGTGTTACGTCGGGCAGTTCTACCCACGGCCGGGCTTTCCCCCCACGCCCCACTTGCTCTCCTGGGGCTGTGAGCGCGCCCTAAACTGAGGACGGCCGCAGAGCGAGCACGCCGGCCCGGCTTTGGGGGACTCCGTCAGTGCGCGGGGCGCTCATTACCAGGAATGGGCTGTGGCTCCTACGGAGCTCGCCGCGTTGGACAGCGTGCGGCGGCCGGGGCTGGGCTGGGGGTGGGGGGCGGTGCCAGGCCAGGAGGCCCCGCGCGGCCCGCGTCCGACCCCGCCAAGAGCCGCTGAGGCGCGCGGGGCCCGAGCCGCGGACCGCGAACGGCGCGCAGGGACACCAGGAGAGGTTTGGGTGGGACGCCGGCCGGCCAGGCCGCGCGACCGGGGTGCGTCTCCCGACGGTGGGCGTTTCCTGCTTCCGCGCTGCAGCGTGCAGGTCGCAGGCGGGACGTCTGCGGATCGATCGACTAAACGGACGAGATGCCCACCACCACTACCTGGGACTTTACCTTCCACGAACACGCTTCGCCCGGCCCAAGTATCCCCGCCCCCCAGTCCCCCTTCTGGCTTTTCGGGCGGTATTGTTCTCCCCTCCCCCCAGGAAGGCTGCTTCAACGCACAGCCCGGCACCAGGAAGCGGCGTCGGTTTGTGGCTCAAATGTGAGGCTGGGGCGGGGTCGGTTCAAACCTCCTATCCCCAACCCCCAGCTGTTTTGAGATTCCAAACGCCCGGCTTTGTTCTGAGCGAAACAGTTGCAGAAGCTGCAGCACTTGCTCCCCTTCTCCAGAAACCGAGCTGGGAAATGGGTAAAAACCACCCTGGACCGTGCTCGGGCGCTCCCCCACGCCCAACACCCCCACAGGGTCGGAACCAGGAGCGCCCGCTCCGCCGCCTAACGCGCGCCGGGGTGACTGCGGGCCGTAGCCGCCGCCGCCGCCGCCGCCCAGCCGAGCCGGGGGAGACTCCCAAGGGCTCTTTAAATACGATCTATAAATACTACGGGCTCTCGGCGCGCGCGTCACGGAATGACCGGCCTCCGATTGGCTGTCGTAACCTCTCTTATTTGCATATCCGGATTGCTCAACTGGGCGGTGACTGGGCGAACGCGCGCCCCAGGCTCAGCGGGCGGGGCCCGAGAGGCCGCGACCGAGTCCGGAGTCGCTGCAAGTGGGGAACCGTTTAGGTCTAGAGTGGTGCGCGGGTGCTCCGGCATGCCGACTGCTCCTCAAAGGATCATTGTTGGCGAGAGGAAGCCGGCCCTTTCGGACCGGGTTTTTTTGCTTTCGACAGAAAGAAAAGACAAAGTTTCGAGGGTTTCACTGGAGCAAACGCTCTGGGCGGCTCGTATCGTAACGGCACCACGTGGGACCGGACACGCACCCGGAGCCCCGTCCAATGACCTGCGACCTGGGGTGTTCAAAAAAGGCTCTGGCGTGATCACTAGTAAGACCGCTTAACTTGGACGCGAATCAAAGACGGTTCGGAAAATGCAAGACGGATATGATGCCTCCTGGTTTAAATCTAAGTTTTTAAAGAAATGTACCAGTCAGCCAATTTGAAGCGGCGATGCGGACGCTACCCTCAGTGCGGTTCTTGGAGAAGAGAATCTCTTGTAGCAATTGAATATGTTCAGCGATTTAATCCCTACAGGAGTTGATTATCCCTGGGAAGGGAGGGGGGTGGCGGTGAAGGTCAAATGGGAAGAAAAACACGATTTGGAATTTGGGACCCGATGTTGTGAAGTGTAGAGGCCCAGAGGATTCTGTCAAGAGGATGCCATTGATCGCTCGGGAAGAATATACAGTTACATATTTAATATTAGGATGTTACAAAATCATCTCTCCTGGATGTAAACTGAGGATGGGGGATGGGGTGTGCTATTTCTCCTGTTTGTTCCCGATATTTTATAATACACAATAACAGTGAATTCCTACTTCTCAGTTGGATCAATACAGTGACTTTAAATTCCTTCACTTGGTTTTAAAATATTCTGCCCTTAAAGTGCACACAGTATATTCTAAGGTTCCACGCCTTCCTGTAACAATATCCGGGATGACTGCTAGAAATACATTGTTGGTATCTTATACCTAGTTGGTCCTCAGTAAGTAGTAGTGGGATATCAGCATTTAGAAGAGACTATGCATGTACCATAATCAAAGATCTCATTAAGTCTATTTCATAAGTGTTCTGCTTTGACATCCTTTTCCTCTTAAGTAAAACTCAAACAATACTGTAACTAGTGTTAGGTGGATACTAGCAATATACAACCCAAAAAGCTTTTAAAAAAGAGCTTCGGAGTTTTAACAGAAGAGTGCCCCCTGCTGTCAAGTGGTTTACGGTCCACGGAGGCTGAAAAGTAAAACTTGGGTGTATGTCCATCACAAAACTGGAAAGGTGAGCCTTAGGATATTTTTCACTAACATTTCGTTGTAAATCACTTTGTAATTCTAGCCATTTAAACTATTACTGCCAAGCAGGATCCTTCAGTTGTGGATACCACCGTTAAGTATCATTCTCATTTCCACAGTAATACAAACCAGCCTAAGCTTTAAATGCAATATTAAAACAAAGCATGGACTTGTTTTAGAGTCACTATTCTCTGCATTAACATCTATCAGTGTAAGAAAAAAATGTTTTAATCATCGAAATATTTTTCCCAATAATTTTAGTACTGTGTAGTATAAATCACCAAAAATGACACCAGCCTTTCTCTTCTCTACTTGTTTGCCTCTGTCTTAACTGTTTCTAATTCCCAGGCCAAGTATAAATGCACTTACATGCTGCCTTCTTGGTAATCATCTCTTCAATATAAAGACTGGCATTTTATAGTAGTATATTTATTGCATTTACACAGTGTTTTCCTTTTCCTTTATGTTTTTTTAATGTTACATCTCTTTTACTAATTCATTTATTTGCTGTCCTTATTCATATGCCTATTTGAAAAAAATATTTTTATAAGTCCCAAGTAACTGTGAAAAATGCACCTCTTGGCTGCTACTTCCCTGGGTTTTCATTTGTTAGAGCTGCTTCTCTGAAGGAGGCAAGGGCTGCATTCAGAGGTTAGCTACTGGTGCAGCTCCGAGTCACTAAGGTAAGAGGATAACTGGGAAACCACAAATGACGAGATAAGGGAGGCGTCTGTCTCCCGCTGTAAATGCTAATTATGGGCATTTCAGCGGCTGCTTCACCATAAGTATTTTACCACCCTTCATAGAAGCGTACAGATAATGATCATATGGTTCTCAATTCTTATTTGCAGAAGCAGAAATGAAAAGAGAGTCCATTATTATGCTGAAAGATGTATTTAGAAAAAATCCAAGTACTCTTGAGGGCTAGCTAGAGTGAGCTTCTGTTGTGTGTGACCCTGGAGTAAACAACCCAGCCCTCCTACAGAAGGGCCAAGTGCTCCCGCTACTGTGAACTGAGCTCCGTTTTTCCAGCTGATGGTGCAGGAACCGTGTCTATTTTACATGAATAGTTCTATGATCACCACACCTTAAGCCAGTTGTAAAGGTGGAAAATGAATGCTGGATGTTGGTGCCATTAGACAATAGTTGGTGCCATTAGGCAGTATGTTTGCGTTTTTTTTTCCCATCTACTCACTAGTAATTACAAATTGTCCCATGTATAGAAGTTCTACTGTGCACACACATATTTGGTAAAAATGCCAAGGCTTTGGGGCAGATTGGATACACGCCAAAGAGTTTCTGGATTGGCCCAGCTTCACTGCAGTTAGATCAGCACACCTCTGTGATCTGGGGTGATTAATACATTAATTAATTTGCAGTAGTGGCTTCCTTTGCCCATTGACTGAGGGATGGCTTCTAAACTGTGTTACCAATGTCCTTGCTCACTGATAGGGAGATTATATGACCCATATGACCTGCAACAAGAGCTATGCTTGCTGAAGGACCAGCCACCACTGAAAGAGGGTGAACAGTTGCATAAGCAGGTGGAATCAGCACAGCCAGAGGGCAACGGGGTTGGGGTGAGGAGTTTCCTACTTCAAAGGTCACTCTTCCAAGGCACAGAGCAGGATGGAGAATGGATCTGGGGACAAATTGAGAAAAACAGCCATTATCTATCAAGGCAGATCTGGGAGTGGTAATTTAAGAGCCAAACGAGCCTCCTTTACTAGGAACACAGCTACATCCAACAAGAGCAGTATTTAGGAAATAACAGAGATACAGAGAACATTATTTTAGGTTTGAATTACAGTGAAAGTCACTTTGGTATATAAATCACCAATTAGTAGCTTATTGGTGTATTAGCTGAACAAAATTCCATAACTGGGTGGTTTAAACCACAGAGATTTATTTTCTTGGAGTTTTGGAGACTAGAAATACTCCAAAATCAGAGTTCTAGGGAGAGCTCTCTTCCTGGCTTGTACATGACGGGTCTTGCTCTGTGCTCACATGACCTCTTTTTTGTGCATGCTTGGGGTAGGGACAGTGAGGCAAGGGAGAGAGGGAGGCATGTCTTCCTCTTTTTATAAGGACACTACTATCAGATCAGGGCCCCACCCTCATGACTTCATTTAACTCTAATTACCCCTCAAAGGCCCCACCTCAGATACCATCACATGGAGGGATTAGGGCGCCAACATATGAATGTGGGGAGAACACAATTCAGTTCATAGCTCACTTAGGCCAGCACGGGCTGAGTAGGGAACCCAGCCTTTTAGACTCACAGGGACTTTTATCACTGCTTGTTGGTAAATAGGTACATCCATCACCCCTTGAAGTGTCAATGGATAGTAAACTTCAACCCCCACGTGGCAATAAAGGGACTCCACCCAGCCCCTTCCCCTGAGTTGGTGTCAGGAAGACCTATTTCAGAGGTGGGACTGCGCTATCACCCAGCAGTAATAAGGCCACCCACTCTGATGCCATTCGAGATCCCTTGGGGAGCTGGAACTCCCACTCCAGCACAGAAGTAACAGGGAAACCCCCACTTTTGAAAATAAAACATACCCAAACTTGTGGGGTGGAGCTAAAGCAGTGATTTAAGGGAAATTCATAGCACTAAATGCTATATATTAGATATGAGAACAAAATATCAAATCAATAATCTCAGCTCTCACCTCAAGAATCTAGAATGAAAAGAACAAAATAAACCCAAAGCCAACAGAAAGAAAGAAAGAATACAACTACATAACGTGGGTGAAAGAAATCAAAGACCCAAATGAAGAGCCATACTGTAATCATAGGTTAGCAGACTCAACCTATTGAAGATACCAATTCTCCCTAAATTGACATAGATCTAAAATAATTCATATAAAATACCTGATAGATTTATGCAAGACTATTCTAAAATTTACGTGGAAGGGCAAAGGAATAATTATAGCTGAAACAATTTTAAAAAAGAATACAGTGGGAAGAATCAGTCTACCCAATCTTGAGACTTATTATATACCTGAAGTAATCAAGACTGAGGAGAGATAGACACACAGATCAATGGAACAGAAGAGGAAACCTAGAAACTGTCTCACATAAATATGCCAACTGATTTCTGACAAAGGTGCAAAAGCAATTTGATTAAGGAAAACAGCCTTCTCAACAGGTGGTGTTGGGGCAGTTGGACATCAAAGGCAAGAAAAATGAG